TGCCTACATCTGCATAAGATGATCTGCTGGGCCGCAGGCTGTAGCTGCGAAGTGCTGCATGGGAATTTGGATGCATGTGTTTGCATGATGCTGCGAATTCAGTTATGGTACCTGGTACCTGAGCATGACAAAGAGGCTCGATGCCATGGCCGGGGGAGAAGCATACACCAGTTTTCTGCATTTCTCTTCGCTGTGGTGAATGGTGCCAGATAGTCACCACGACTGTTGACAATATGGGCAGTGGATGTGTTGGATGGGTTATGTCATGGCCTGTCGGATACTGTGCAAATGCGGGGTGGACATGCTGCAGGCTACCGCTTTGCTTGACGAATGGAACTGCTTTGGCTGCCCTAGGATAGAGTGGATGTGCTGTTAATGTTTGCCATTGCCAATGTGTGATGGAACGGCCACACGTGCCTGTCGCGGACTTGGGAACCTCGCCTAGGCTTGTCCGAGTGTGAGTGCTGAAACCCTAAACCCCTTGTAGATCCCTTACAAGAACCCTTATGGTACCCTTTAAAGGAACCTTAAGGGTCCCCTATTTTCGGAAACTCCCATGTAGCCTTCCCCAGCCCTTGACCCGGTATTGGCGAACTTTGCTTTCAGGACTCGCGCTTCCCGTGCTGGGCTCTGCACGCTTGCCCTTCAATGCCTGCAGCTTACTACGGGCGTCGTAATAAATAGCAGTTCATATGTATATTCACCGTACTAGAACCCCCAGGCCCTGTTCTAAACCTGAAGGCTCCTACGCTACGCTCACAAGCTCCGAATCGAAGCCCGAGACTAGGGGAAGCCAGTTCGAAAATCTTGGATGTACAGAAACCACAATCACTATGAGGGTTTCATGATACGGTCGAGGCATCTTCGATGGGCGTGGCAGGTGGTATTCGGGCTGAGGCTTTTCTGCGTCAGAGACTCTTAGACTTCCGCCTTGCCGAGACCCCGTCACTTCCTACTCCGTGGGCCTCCCCTTTGTGAGCCCATTTCTTGCCCAGTCGGATTTTCCAGGACTTTCGTTCCTTCTTCACAGTGCTAGATCGAAAGGGCGAACCGTAGATGTTCCACATGTGGAAGGTGTAACTATCAGACTGATTGATACATATGGGTGGTTGTCAATATTGGGGTCCCTTTTGGGGTCCTTCTTATAATACGGCACCCAATATTTAGGCTACCCAAAAGGGGCCTTAAATTTGACAACTACCCATATATATATATATACACACACACACCCGTCGGAGAGAAATTCCGGATCCTGCTTCCGGGCGGCTCCAGGCCCTGGCTGCTGCAAAGTATTGCTACCAAGTTGCCAGCCCGGATCACAGAAGGGCTGTCACAGGGCAGAGGTAAATCGGGAAGACTTCCGTTCAGTTGTTGAGTTGCCGTTTCGGGGTACGCATTTGGGGTTGAAGTGAGCTTATTCCGGAGTTTGTGGCGCTTTGAAGCATAAGGCATAAGGCCTAAAGGTTGGAGTGTGGTTAGCTTCGTCGAAGACCCAGAGAGTTTCTTCACTCATGAGTTTTGGACAAGGTGGGCCATGGTGTGCATGAGCAACCCGACGGCTCCAACAACCCGCTCTCCATAATTGAACCATCTACTAGTTGTTTAGATGCCCCAGAGTCCTGTTCTTTGCCTTTAGACGGTTTAGACGCCACGACTGCCGTACCTCACGCAGGAACACCAAGTGCAAATGCACCCCAGGAAGACAGTATAGACATCATCTGAGTTCCTGAGCCCAGGCCTTGACGCCCCTGACCCCGACACCACCATAGCTTAATCCCAACAGCCTGAGTTCACTCGAAGTCCCTGTCTATATCGATGTTGAGGCCGTGGTGGCCTCGAGTCGACTACCGTCCCACCACAGCTGCGCCGACTTATGAATCTCAGTCGCATTTGAGTCTTTGCTTGTCATCAACTGAATAGCACGTGCGCTTCGCGACTTTCGACCTGCGTCGATTGAACTGTTCAGACTGACTACGGCTTGGCATCTGGTGTTTCAGCAGGACAGAGAGTTTCGAGCCGAAGTCAGACCTTAGCCTTGCCTAGCTGGCTGAATCTAGTTGCGTTGGGTTTCGGAGCGCTAGCTGTTCCGACCGCAGAACTTGTGGCATCCGAGTGTTGAGCGATTCACTCCCCCTGCATGGGTCTAAATGTTTCGAAGCGCCCTCCACCCTCCCCTTCCGAAAAAGAAAGAGTCATCCCAGCAAGTCCTCAGCCCAAACAAGCTGCACTGGAGCCACGAATGCGAGAGTGAAGACGCCTGTGCAAAAGAAGCAGTGCACAATAATCACGAAAGTAGTACGAATAACGATTCCCACTGACAATGTACAGTAAAAGTGAAGCCACGGACGCAAGGTACCTTCGATGGTTTGGTGTGGCGTCCCCAGCAAGAGTGGATCCGAACGACTCGGATGAAAGTGCGTTCAGGTCACTGTATACTTTAGGTTCAGGATTCAGGATTTAAGTTCGGGGCTTGCAGGCTTATAGCGATGTTTTTGAGTTTGTTCTCTATAAGGTATACCTGCACGGTGCATAGGCCTAAGGATCAGTGCTACTTGGATAGGTAGCGTTTCTATGCGAGTTCTTGATGCAGGACTTTGGTATAGGACCCGCACAGGATCTGGATTTGGCTCCAGAAAAGGGTTCGGAAAAGTTAGTTATAACATCCCCATAGAATCCCGAGAGCTAGAAAGCCTCTGGGCTTCAGGTGTGTGAGGTTTGGCCCTGCCTCTAGTTTTGCACAATTGAGTCGAGTACCCAGAGTTCCCTGTACGTACTCTTGGAGTTTGAATAACGACTTATAGTTGTAGTGCCTGTACAATCACCCAAATTCTAAATCGAGTTAGTCCATAAAAGATACGTAGCTAAATCGAGTTCTTCTGTCTGGATGCGTAGGCCCTCATACAAGTTTTGCATGCACGCCTGGGTAGCTGCAAATGTCGGCACATAAATGCAGGTCCCAGACAGGCACAGGATTTCATTATGTTGGTGGTGGTTTGTTCTGCGCATTATGCTGATCCTTACCACTTCCTCGTGTGGCTAGTCGGTAGAAGCTCTTGGTACAAGTCGGTGTTAGTTGGCACAGGGTAAGTCTCACGAGATCCGGGGGTCGTGACAAATTGCCAGTTCCTGGGATGGGTAGCTGGACAAGTTACGTACATTGGCAAGCATACAGCAAGCAGAGATGTGCTCGTAGATTCAGTTTCGAGTTGTCATGGCTAGCGTTGTTCAAGCTACAACGTCTTAATAGGTCTTAATCTTCTCATCGTTGCTACGAATATCACATGCATTATGGTATATTGATCACGGTTAGGTGTAATTTGTAATCACTGTGATGAAGTCTTATCACAAGAGCCACGGTAGCCCAAGGTCGTTCGAGGGCAGACTCCCAGGGACTGGCTCGAGGAGCTGAGGCACTTCGGGCAGTCATGTGTTACGGTGGCCGTAGTGGTTCTTATGGGAACTATTGGCAAGTAATTATGAGGACCGAGGAGCTGTTAGGAATTATTAGGGGCCATTGGCAAATATTCCTATGACCTTCCTATGACCTGACCATCCCTTAGGTAGCTATGCTATATGCCCCCTGTGTTTGAAAAGGCAGGCCGGACCGACTGCCCAAAACGGTGTCGGGAAGCCCACCAGTTCCATGAAGAGTATCATGAAAACTGCTAGAGCAGCTCTTGTTGTGGAGGCCCCGACGAGCCCCGCACTCAGCATGAGACCTGAGAAGAAATCCTTCAGCTTCCATGGCGATTGAGGGCTGGATGCTGGCATTCATCAAGTCCAGGTGTCCAACACGGTTCAGGTCAAAGTTTTGGTTTGCCCCAGCAAGGGCATTCTCATGCCGCTGACAACACATACACGCGACGATAAGTGCTTCCCTATCGCTGCCAGAAGCCGTTTGGGCACAAGCATGAGGGGCTTGGCAGCTGTTTTCTCGAAGTCACACATGTTGCGCAAATGCTGGTGTTCCCCACAGTTCCGTTCTGGGAGAAGGGTTGCGGTTTCGATCGTTTCTGCTTATGACATACTTTGGACACTCGCCCTGTGCCTCCACGGCAAGACCTAAGGTTCCTACGTAGCCCTTTTCAGGCGAAACCTCCCGGGCAACATGATCTCGCTCACTGCTCCTGGTTTCCTTTCAAAGCCGGCAACATGTTTTTTTCCCCTTGCTCACTCGAGCACAACTGAGTGAAAGCTCTTCAAAGATGCCCAGGAAGAGTTCTTCAGATATGCGCGCGAGGCGGACAGACTGTGTTGCGTTGCTGGGTTTTGCTTTTGGGGACATTGAGTTGCACCAACCGAGAACATGGGGACATGGAGGTTCCGAGCCTGAAACCATGTCGATCGGGCTGAGACTGCATGCCAGAAGCCTGTTGCTGTCGGCATGTTTTGACGAACCCGGTCATTCCCTGGCGGGGACGTAATTTCTAGAGTAGTAAATACACCTGTGGCAACAGTGTAAGCAACTAGTCACTAGTTGCTAGTGACTGGTGTCTAGTGGGGGAAGTCAAAGCAACAGCCAGCACTACACTGCGCTAAACCATGACCCCTCAGTTTTGGCTCAAATGGTTTAACGGCCTGGCTTTCGGCGTTGAAAGCCTGCCTTCCAATGCTGCCACTAGGCGGGGCGAAAGGGCTAAAGCGAGTAGTTACTTCTTCTACTTGTTCTGGTGGATATCGTGATTGTGGCGATTGTTGTGGTTTTTGTGGTTGTTGGCTGCCGGTTGCTAGTAGAGGGGGGGTGGTTTCGGTTGCGGTTGCATTTGTTGCGGTAGCTTCTATTGCTTGTGCTGCTGACGAGACTCTTGTGATGGTGCTTGTGCTGGCGGTTGCAGGGTTGGTTGCTAGCGTATGCTGTGACAGTCTTGTTTTTCCTCCTTGACCTGGTGCTCATGTTGCTGCATTGGTACAAGGAAGCCTCGTTGGTTTGATGATTGTGCTGTCATGGTTCTTCCGGAAACAGTCTCGTTTGCGTAGGTTGAGAGTTGCTTTAGTCGTTGATGTGCATTGGAGGCTTTGATCATGGTGATCTTGGTCGTCGCCGCCGTTTTCTGAATACGCGGGGTTACGTCACCCACCCTTCTTTCATCCTCCATCACGAGTGTTTGAAGCTCGCTCTGGGGACGGAGGGGACCCTGAACCCAAAGCGCGGGGTAAATTCCCTGAGTCACGTGAGAGGTTTTTGCCTCCTTGTGGCGTGGGCAGCGCTTGGGAAGGCCGAGGATGTGGTGACACTGACAGGTTCGTTACCTGGCAGCTTCGTCTCGTCACCTTTTGTTGCCATAATTGCCACTAAGTAACTAAGTATTGCCTTGCTTGGGGCCTGAATTGTGGTTTTGTGCAACGATCCGACCGACGAGACTCCGAGTTGCCGGTGCACGCAGTCGCGCATGTGTCCTTGTGCCTGCCAGTTTGTCTTGAGAGTCTTTGCTGTTGCTGCGCACTCAGGGACTTCGAGCAGCACCTGAAGGACGAAGATCTACCACTTCCGAATCCCATGACATGTACAAGAGTTGCTGTCAGTATTATGATCGTCATGAATGTAATTGAGTGGGTCGCGTTCTCGCTTTCAACCGGAATCCCGATGGGGCTGCTGGTGATTCTCTGCATGTGAGTTTGAACATAGTAGCATAACATGTTTGCAAAGCCTGCCGGCGCGCTCAATACGAAGCTGTGCAGGACAACAAATACGTCCTCGCAGAGTTTTACGCCCCCTGGTGTGGACACTGCACCTCTCCTGCATGGAACTATGTATTTGTTTTGGTGTGCCTCCCGTCAGTAGCTCCCTCTGCTCAGGCAAGAAACTCGCGCCGGAATATGTCTCTTGGCAAGCAGTAGCATGCATTGGCATAGGCAGGAGGACGTTGAACCTATACCTGGAAGCCCGGTGTACATCTCAGGCGTTACTGTTCCGTTTATTTGCAGCTGGCTGTTCCATACATGATTTAGGGTTCAGTGTGTGGGTTGCGGCTTTTATCTCATAGGGACCCCAAAGTCCGATGAAGGTCTTCCAGAGCAACGAGCTGTCACTGGACTTTAGAGTTCTTGATCCCATTTTTAACCCGATGGTATCTGACCCAAACACGATTTTATTTCCGGGTTCAAGGTTGGTACAGGGTTCAGGTTACAGGGTGCTGCAGGTGGTCGGCCAGTCAACGAAGCCAATCTTGAGGGCGCCCGTCCCGACATGTTGAGGTGCTTGTTCTTTAGGCCCCCTTGAACCGTGAACGCCCACCTATCCGATTCAGGAGAAAGCGGCGCAAGCGTTGAAATTTTCAGGACAAGTGGAGTTGATGTTCATTACATCTCCTGGGCGTTTACAGGTACGTGACAATGTAGTTTCCAGCCGTACTTCGCCATTACAACCTGAGGTGTCGAGAACTGGAAACTGTAAACACTGCCTGCAGATGGACTCCAAGCTGCGACAGCAACGCCCGACTTGTAAAGGGAAGCTGAATCGGTCTTTCGTTCTATTCCCAAGTGTGATAAGACCCCGACTCCAGATCCGAATCCCGAATGATTGACTAGCAGCACGGCCCTGAGCCGAAATGTTTGCATCCCGAGGCCTATCGCAGTCTCACAGCTTTCGTTGTTGATGTTGTCTCTTCCCAAGCCAAACTGCAACACGAACGGGGTCAGACTTTACGGCAGCCCAACAGCCCATGCACGTCGTGTTTTTCTGACCAGGGCAACTGCATCACGAAGGGGTAAAACTTTGCGCGTCACCCCAACGAATACAACGGGCCATCAATGTCGTTGTTGGTTCTCTCTTCGGGCCAAGCTGCGGTGCGACCGGGGCCAAACGTTGCAGCAGCCCAAAGCACCCCATGAATGTCGTTTTTGCCCTTGCCAAACTTCAACACGAAAGGGATCAAACTTCGCAGAGCCCCAAAGCAGCACACAGCAGCCCACAAATCTCGTTGTTGTTGTTTTCCTCCCTGGGCCAACCTGCAATGCGAAGGAGTCAAACTTTGCGGTACCCCCGAGCATGCAACAACCCGTAAATGTCCCCATATCATACAACAGCCAATCTTTTCAGTGCTGCGGGCGCGAAGATTCCGTTTCAGGGTTTGTGATGAAGAAGCATCAAGTCGTAAATCATCCTACTGCAGCCCCTCAGTCTGAAGATGCAAAGTCTGAACTGAATTGAAATGCCGAAATGCCCGACGGTTTTTGGCAGCCTGACCAATCGTTTGCTCCAGTAGTGCTCCTCGCTGACGGATTTTGGTATAGTGCCCCCGAAGCCCCAGCCCTCACTGTTCAGGCCCCTATACACACCCGACGAAATTGCACTCGAAGTCTCCGTCTTCACAGTAAACTCCCCGATCCCAAAACGCCTGGATCCTCGGAGGAGTCTCCCTGGCCAAAGTGGATGCCACGGAGGACTGAAGCTAAAGTTCCTGACCGTTGTTCTTGCAATGTTGATGGTAATTATCAGGGTTGCCAGTTTATGAGAGGCATGACTGTCATGATCGCCTGCAGGAGCAGCAGCAGGAGGAATAGGAAAGAGGAGGAGGAGGAGGAAGAGGAGGGGGAGGAGTAGTTGCAGGAGAAGGAGTAGTAGTAATAATAGCAGAAGAAGCAGCAAGAGTACTGCTTCTTTTCGCGGTCGTCATCGCTGGCCGCGGGATCCTTTTAAGCGAAACCTTTCACATCCATAAATGCTAAAGTCTTTCCCATTTGTACCGTACCGCTTAGATCCGCTTAGACTCCACATCGTAATCAGATGATAAATTGATGCTTTCCGAGACACCCCAAACTCGGAACAACCATCCGGAACGTTCCCGATGCTCGATGTGCTGTCCAGCAACCCTTGGACTTGGACATACGCTCCTGCACTGGTTGCCGCTTCACTCCCAAGAAAACGCCACGCCGAGTTTTTGTGTTATGTGCCCGTGCTCGCTCTTTTTCTTCCCGGTCATGACTCGTCCAATCTGTGCTTCGGCTAAGACTCGAAGGCATGTTGGGGCTTTGCTCATATACACATATGCATGTATGAACATATGTATATATATATATATGTAGATACACATTGTTTTTATCTCTCTGTCTCTCTCTCTCTCTCTCTCTCTCCCCCCCTGTTTTTGCATCTGTGCTTGTGTGTATGTGGAGGTGCAGGTTTCAGGATTCTGGCGACTCTGGGTTTCTGGTTTCTGGACGAGCGAGTTTGGATCCTGGCAGATAGAATCAGTGTCCACATGTTAAACTTCTGGCGATCGGTTTGCGGGATGCCATTCACAGGAAAAAGACCTCGCGAAGAAGTATGATGTGAAGGGGCCGCTCGAGCTGCAAATTGAGCTGCGCAGGGTGCCACTGTCCCGTCGTTATTTGTTGTTGGTGCTTGTGTGGCGTTGGCTTTCATCATCGACACAGAAACAAGAACGAGTACGTCTCGTGCATGATGGCGGTGAGGATCGCTATGATGCAGTGCTACTTTGTTCTGCGTGTTCTATCTTACGGCCTTGCTCGGGACCAGCAGGTATGTTTGCTTAGCTCGTTGCTGACGTGGCTTAGCATCATGCATGCTCGTACCTTTGACTGCGACCCAGGCTTACGTACATTTCTTGGGTTGGAGACCTTGAAAGGGGCTGGAAGTATTTATCCTGCTGCTGGCGTGCTCTGCAGATACTTAGGTTTCCTACCCTGATCTGGTTCGAAGAGGGGAAGCAGATGGAGTACAGTGGCGGGCGGACAACCCAGACAATTATCGACTGGGCATCGTCCATGTCCCTAGGCGGCAAGGTCGGCGATTGAGACTTGTGCTTTCGCAGTGCGCACGAAGCCTGAAGGCCCTGAAGCCCCGAAGCCCGAAAACCATCAGATAGGCGTAAAGCCCCTGCAGAAGGCCTATTTGTCGAACTGTGAGGATTCGAGTTGCGAGAGTTGACAGCCTCGAGGCGAACCCCTTGGAACCCTTCAGCCCTAAACTCTAACGTAGCCGAAACGTGTTCGCGCTCAGCGTTGGGATGCCCTTCAACCAAAGTGCGGGGGGGTATTATGCCGAAGCAAGAACGTGGCGGACTGGCGTCCTCGCTGCGCTGAGAGTTCGGTGTGACCTCGTCCGCAGTGCACCGCGTGAGGCGCACATCCTCTCGAGTCCTTGCAGGGGCAGCATGTCCTCGACCAGATCAATCGTGCTATCTTATCGTGTTTTCTCAGAACTTCTCCGTCTCGTATGAAGCTGTGCACCTGCAGGGCGGTCCGGTCGCGAAAGACGAAAGTCCTGGCGGGTTGTTTTATTCAGTATAGTATTGCTTAAGTCACCCATGTCATGGTGGCAATCGAGAAATCGTGCACAGGAGCCTAACCTTCGAATGCGAAAGCCGAAGCCCTAAACTCTAAACCCGAAAAGAAGGGAAAAGCCCGAAAAGATACCTTGCCTTATTGAAAGCTTTGGAGGAGTTCAATGTTCCTGTGTCACAAGTACGCAGCATGCAGTGATAGGTTAAGGACCCCATGGTCTGTGCCTTTACAGAAATCCTCGGGGAATCCGCTAGAAGCCACAAAGGACTGGCCCGGCGGTCTTGGAGAACTCAGACCCGGCTCCTCCTGGAAGTGAAAGGCCGCGCGTGGTCCTCCAGGCGCAGGGTATATTCCAGCAGTTCAAGGGCCGGGCCACTACAGTATAAGTTATGAATTCTAGGGCTTTTGCGAAGGGGTACGATTCTTCCAGATTCTATCATGTTGCCATTCATCAGTAGAGTCAATCAATAAAGGACAGGGACAGACCTCTGTGGTGAAGGACGCGATTATGGTCGGGCCACACAAGCTTCAGGCTGAGGGCGTAAAGGGCTTGTAGCATGTACACAAATGCCGGACTTAGGGTCAGTTGTGGCACGGTATCCATACGTAACCTTCATGTGGAAGTAGAGTGTTCTCACACCTTTGGCAGATTCAAGATGTCTGGCAGCCCCGACTCAACCCATGTTCTCTGCAGCCAGCGTTCGGTGGCGGTTCCGGGCTTCCGAGCGACTCTACAGGGCTAGTCCCACAAGCCGCTTAAACATCTATGCCCACATCTCGTGGACCAGGCCAGCAGCTTGGATTCAGTCTTCGAGCAGGTGGCCAAGGATCATCGAAGGACCCGACGCATGTTCCTTCCAGGTAAAACATTGGAGGCCAAGGGAGATCAGAGCTCGCGAAAATCTCCTGTGACAGAAGTAAACTGCGGTGTTCATACCTGAAGCTGTGACAGAAGTAAACTGCGGTGTTCATACCTGAAGCACTACAATTCCAAGAAGCCATCTATCGAAAGCTTCCCAGTGAAGCCGCCTAGCGAAACTAGGCATACTGCAGACACTGCAGGCTGCAGGCACCTCCAAATGCCAAATCTACATTTGAGGATGTACCAGCCATGGTCCGCAGTCAGATTGACCCACTGGGGCCAATGTGGCGTGTACGGGGACCAGCTCCAAGGTTTTCCGCCAAATGCAACCGACTGCGTGCGTGTGCGGATTGTCAGGTGTCGAATCTGCGAGCAAGAGCAAAGTTTTGTTCAGTAAGCCCTACAGTAAATCCTAAACCCTAAATCGTTATCGTTGGTACAAGAGAGAATCCACTTGAACTGACTTTTCACACCGACTCCGCACCTAAGAACCTCGCCTGGCTGTGTTCGAGTTGTGAGAACGTAAATCGTTGGAGAGGGATGGAAAAATCGTTGGAGAGGCGGAGAGAGACCAACCAGGCCGAGAGCACAGTGAGCACAACGTTAAGATGTTCTTTGCACCCCGTGGGCATGCCAAAAGTCGACCCTTCACCGATGTCCGGAAAAAGTCCGGCCCAAATGCAAGCGATGGATGCGATTGCAAAAATCGTGATAGTGATGAGCTTGACGCGGGCGGGTGCCTTCGGCCGAAGTCGCGATATTTGGGTCTATTCGCCTATGCCGCAGCTGCTGCAGCAGCTGCTCGAGGATCAGTCGGCGTTGCAGTTGTTGGCGCTGCTGCTGCTTAAGAACGTGTCGTGCAGGAAAGCCACCTGGTACTTCCAGAAGACTGGCGGTCCCTCGAAGGTCATTCTCCAACACGCAGGACAGGGCCTCAACAGACTGAACATGTATTGTTAGTCGTGTCATTCTGAAGCATTCCGAAACTGTCCCGACATGGCCGAGAAGTTCGTTAGGGGCACGCATCCTTTCGGAAGGAGAGGACCCGGTGGAGTTGTCGGGCGCCTTGGAGAATGCAACGCTGCCGCTGGCCTTCAAAAGCCGTTCGATAGTTAGAACAGAAGCTTCAGTGTAAAATCTTCTGGATATGTCTCACCGACTGCCCTGGGCCCGAACCCAAGCCCCTGACCCCTGAACCCAAGCCCTCCCTCGGTTTCAATACTCTCCTCCTCCTCCTCCTCCTCCTCCTCCTCCCCCATTGGGCAGGTTTCTTGAAGCTTCTAGTTGGCTGTGTAACACATGTGTTATCGATATTTCAAGAAGAGACTTAAGCAGAGATGTGCTGAATAGTAAGGCTGGGTGGTGTAGGATTGAGAAGTTATGTCATGTTTGATTCAAATGGGATGAGAGTAATGCAATCAACAGCCGATCGTGCTGGCAAGCATGAGCTTTTCACTAACGCCTGAGAAAGATGCATGTCGAACTTTGGACTTCGAGTTCAATGGTTGCTGCGATGATATACTGGGCCGGGTACTAATCTTGCAGATGCGTCAAGCACGAGGAAAATGTGGTCACCAATTTGACTTTGGCCACTGGCTGTAGGACCCAGTTTATTTTGGACAATGCCCTGCCGCTGGTCGGTGAGCTCAACGCCGATACCTTCGACAAGTGTCTGGGCAGATAGAGGGACTTTCTCGCAGACCGACCTGGCTCTGCGGCGTTCAGTTTCGGGTTTACTATGTTTTGAGATTGGTGTTCCTGTAGACCTACCCCGTATCCCTGTGTCCTACCGACCCGAAGCCTTGATCAATATTTACATGGCAGGATCCATCGCCAATATTGGCCATGCAGGGGTCTCACGAAAATGGGTCATGCATGCAAGGTGTTTGAAGGGGGGATTTGTGCCATGCTGCTTTCCCTTTCGCTGAACTCTGCCCTAAATCTAAAGTGCCGGGGCCTGACCTGATCGTTAAGAAATCCTGGCGAGCCAGGGTGCCTTTCAATTCAGCTCGTAGGCAATGGCTCAAACGTTTGATCGAGTGGCCTTGGCTTCATTCTATTTCCAGCGTGCTCCAGGCCCCATGAAGTACCCCTAAGGAGCTTACAACAATCAAAGCCTTGTGGCCAACAACTACAAGGACGGCTTACTGCAAACAACACCCAAGACTCTATTCACGAGGTATTTGGAAGCTGGAAAAGGCTTGGTTTGGAGCCTTTTCCCTGTGAAAGCTGGCGAGGGCTTTGAGGAGCCGGAATTATACAAGGATTCACTGATCGAGCCTCCTGGATTCTTGCGCTTGGCTCAGGTTCCGGGTTTGGTTTCCTTTTAAGCTTCTGAGGCACAGCGAGAATTTCATCATGCAGTTCAGGCCCTATTTCCGAGGTCGTCCGAAGCTCTAGGAGTCTGTGATACCTAAGCTCTGCAGCCCCAATCCAGCCACACAGGAGCATCGCGGCATCATGACAGATGTGGGAAAGAGGCCGAAATGGAACATCTGCCCTTTCGTTCAGGATGGTGTACGAAGATGCCGCGTCGAGTTGCATTGGTTGCCACATCAAGTGCTGAAAACTCGGCCATTGCAACAACGAAGAAACGTTGGCATACGTGTTTCTGCACTTAACGATTTGTGTTTGATCGTCGTTGTCGTTGTTCTTGTCGCTGTTGTTGCTGATGCTGCTGTTGCTGATGTTATTGCTGTGGCTCTCGTTGTTGCTCTCGCTTGTAACGTTGGCTTTGCCGGTGCTGGTGTTGCCGTCGCTTCTGTTGATGATGCAGCTGTTGTTGCTGTATGTTGTAGCTGTAGTGGCAGCAAGAACCATTCGCCTTCATGTGTTGATGCAGTCCCTGCAGGTTTCGAGGCAAGTACTTTGTGACCCACACCGACACGGCACTCTGGCTTAAGGTGTATACACTTCTGGGGGCAAAGTTTTGGATTGGGCTGAGTTCATCCGATCCGTGAAGGCCAGAGCTCTCTCATCACAAACATGTGCTTGTTTTTGCTCGAAATGCACACCATAATCTCCGTTTCCGAACTACCGACAACCGGCTCGCCCTTAAGTAAATAGTTTGTGCTTGTGTCTGTGTATATAGCTGGCATGCTCGCTTACTCGGCAAATAGAAGCGGAACAGCACGAGCACTCCCGGCCTTCTATTCCAGTTCTGAGCCTCATACGTAAGAAGATTCGCATGATTAGCAAGTAAGCATCTAGGCTTCATCTTGAGATCTAAAGAGAGATCTAAAGAGGTGCAGGAAGGGCACCCGCAATCGGTGGCAGTGTACCGGGTGAGGTCAATCCCCGCGACTGTGTGGCTTTAGGCGAAATTCAAGGAGGCCATCGACAACATGCTTGGCATCACCAAGTTCCCAGCCATCGCAGTACAGAAGAAGGTCCACCCGACTCACGTCCTAAAGTCGTAGGTCTTGGGTTCCGACAGCCTTCGGCATCGTCTGGCTTTAGGGATACATGTTGAAGCTCAGAACATCAAAGCTGGGGTCTCTCTGGCCGACCAAAGCTTGCATTCCTGCATTCGAAAGCCATCCGGTAGAACGTTTCGCCAATGTACGTGGACGCGTCTTGTTGCAGCCTTTGCTCTCAGAACTCTGGCTCGACTTGAATATACCTCGCTCTCTGCTTAAAGCCCACACCTCCCGAAAACTTTGGCGAGGCTGGGGACAAGAAGAAGTTTGTTTACACTGGTGCCATGACGGCGGCGCAGATCTCCCAGTTCGTAGAGGAGAGCTGGTCATGTCCTGGTTCATGAGAATTACAGCAATGTAGTAGTCTCGACGGTCAGAAGGAGTCCCTTCATGATCTCTCTAGAAAACAGTGACAATTTCTCCGCACATCCTCCTCTTAATCACTTAATTAGTTTCCTTATGCTGTTCCTCTTCGATGTGACTCGGACTTGACTCTGGCCGCCCCTTATAAGAGTAGGACAAACTCGTTGAAAGCCAAAACGTGCCACTATGCTTGAGCAATCGTCAGCATGTTGTAGTCCCTTCTTCTTTGATAGCAAGGCTTTCGTGATGAGGACGTAAGCCAGGGAAAGGGCGGAAAGCGGACCGAGTGGCCGAAGTGCGGTCCGTTCAAGGGGGCCATAATCCAAGAGAAACAAACACCGAGCACCCCATTTGTGTGTTGCATCTTTTCTTTGCAGCACTACATCAAAGATGCCAGTGTACATGGTTACGTTGCAGTACAACGGATCGCTTCTTCGTTTTCATTACTGTAGCTGCTACCACTTCAAGCCCAGGACGTAAGCACAGGGAAGGTGCCCCCGTCACTGAAGTCTGAGCCCAAGCCTGCGGTTCCTTGGCTGTAATTGGATGGTCGTCATGAACGGCATGCATGCACACTAGACGCGCTTTGCGCTTTGTTGCGACAAGTGCGGCTTGCACATAACTCAACAGCTGTGATGGCTATTGCCACCTCACCTCAGCATCAAATCACAATGGCTTCTACCACAAAAACTGAGCCGTCGAGCGAACTCCGCAGCAAGCAAAGGTAAGAGTGCTCTTGAGGAGTGATCAGCTTTTTGGTGTTTGTGGCATTTCGCTTTCCGTGCGATCGAACGAGCAACAGTAGCCTTGAGACTACTGACTGGCTTCACCATGGCATCCGCTTGCTCTTGTGACCGCGGCATTTTCTGTGACCCCACGAAAACGATCTGTGCAAAAGTTGAGAGCCGGATTTTCCTTCTTGACGAGACCCTGTGATAAGAATAGCCTAAACCAGGAGAGGGCCTGGTGCTGGTAGTGGAAGATGAGATGCCTAGCCACCATGGGAACAGGCGAATGACGATGCTGTCAGAGTTGTGGTGGGCTCCACCTTCGAGCAGGAACCCGTGCAAAGCATCTGCTGAGTCCCGAAACTAGTCGACACTGGTGCCAGCAAGCTCTCCCTTTGAAGTTCCGGTGTGGCTGGGCTCGAATTGGTTTGTCACCTGACGTTGCATGTCTTAGGCTTTTGATTGGGGCAGAACAGAGTGCTGTGATGGTTATGACGGCGAATGACGGCGACGACGTGCGAGCATTGGTTGCGTATCGCGTGTGTTTTATCCTACGGATTCTCCGGTAATTACCGTCCTCTGTTGCTTTGCTGAAGCACCTGTATCTTACCTTCCGGAGTCTCGATGGCCGGACCCTGTTGCTTTTGCTGCTCCTGGTATCGCGGTCGGGACTTGGTACCCGCCAGAACGATGCTTAGCTTTAACGTGTGTTCTAGCTCGTGCTCTGTTGCAGTAGCCGGTCTGCGTCCTTAACTTTCCTAGGCTGCTGTCATCGAGGATCTGATGTTGAAAATCTTAAGCTAGCATGCCTTTGTAGAATTAGCATCATCGCAAGAACCAAAAGCAGTTTGCAGGGGAGCCCAGTTGTAAATCACCGCCCCCACCTCGAAACCCTCAGACCTACCCCTGACCCGTTGTGAGATCTCACGCCCTATACCCGTGCATGCAGGAAGTTTTCACCCCCGACAAAGACGTGCTACTGGAAGTTTATGCACCCTGGTGTGGGCACTGCAAGCAGCTTGGCAACAGTTTGTGGGAATCGTAGCAGCAATAAATAGCAACCGGAACAACACATTGACATAAATCAACGAGATTCGCTTGCAAGAACAACAGAAGGGGATTCGGGATTCGTAATATACAGAGACGTAGCACTGATAAACTAGCAGCATAAGCGACAATGTCAACAATCGTACCAAGGAGCCCTTGTCAGTGGCCCCGAGGTCGGTATCCAAGACCCTTCCCAAGTAAAGCATCGATGCTGAATTAAAGACGAAGGTCATCACCTCCAGTAAAAGCCATGATGACCACCGGGGTAGTGCTATTGGCCATGGAGGTCATGGTTGCAGGTGGTGCTGATGATGATGCTTATGAAACTGATGGACTTGGGCTTCATTAGAGTCTTTCGGACCTAGTCATGACACGCACGGGCATCGCTTTTGAAGAATTGAAGGAAGCTCGAGCCCGAATATAGCAAGTTGGCGAAGAAGATCAAGAAAGAGGAGCTGGGCCACTGGGTTGCAAAATAGTCATGATTTCGGTCTCGCATCTTACAGGTTTTTGTCTGTAAACTGGTAGTGATGCAGCAGATGCTGTGCACGATTGATCAGTCTAGACGAAGCAGGAAGCAAGGCCCGCAGGTGCTAGGGTCCTAGGAGTGTGGTTTAAGTGTGAAGGGTCTCCGAAATCTGCCCTTCAACCCGTAGCCCTTATGACTTATGACATATCTAGAGTTTGGAGAATGTGCCCCAGTCAGATCAACCGTCGCACTGTAGAGTTGGCTTCATGGTTGAATGTAAACCCTCTACACTCAGACTAAAAACCCCAAGCCTCGCAGCTTCGGAGACCATAGTCTACTGCACCCTTTTTTCTCTTGAGGTGACTTGCTGTCCATTGCAAAGATCGACGGCACTGCGAACGACAGCCCAGTCGACTCCATCGATCCATGCACCAAACCAGGGTAGCAGTGGGGCGGGCAATCCCCGACCCTTCAAACTTCTTGAGGCCGAAACCTCGCTGACTTTCCTGAGTGTGACGGATGCAAGATGATGAAAGAGAGATTTAAAAACCAAAGGTATTTAGGGGTGGCGAGATTCGAACAACTTGAAGATACAAACTGGCCACGATGGCTTCCTAACCCCAAGTCCGACTACTTCAACGGAGATGCCGAAGCCACAGATATTTGCGTTCAGAACGCTGATCGTATAAGACAGTCATAAATGGCCACCTTTAGTACGATTGCGAGACAAGTAAGAAAGTGCTGCTAGAGCATCACCTGCATGATCTACTTCGCTTGTGATTGACACCCTCGCTCTGTTGCAACGTGTGCCCGCTGCTGGCTGACCTACAGCCATTGCCAGCACTGCCGGGCCCAAAGCATACCCACACAGCTATCTGCATGAACGTAATGCCTGACAGTTAATGAGGGCCAGCTTCGGAGGTGTAGTGGCTGCCACTGGCTCCAAATTATATTTCGGAAACCTTCAGAGTCTAAGAGTCTCAGCCTTTACCTCAGGATTGGAGTTCCTTTCCAACGATCTTCTTCGTGAAGGCAGGGCAAAGCAATGCCACCGTCTACGATGGTGAGAGAACCGCGAAAGGACTGTGGCCCCTCGCCCGGATTCAGGTCTGTGGGTTCAGCATAAGTATAGGACGTTTGTTTTAGGAAGTTTCGCAGCTCGAGGCTCGCTCGTTGAGAAATGTTTGGGAGTAAAGGATCAAGTTTGAAGTGCTACATGTTCAGGCAACACGTGGTTCTCTGCAGGGCAGAGAACATGGGCCACATCTGCTTCTTCATTTCGTTTAATCAGAAGGTCGAGAGGTTGCAGCATCGCAGGCGTGTAAACACAACATCGGGGCATGATATGTGGGATGACACCCTAAACCCGAAAGTCTTGTCTCAGCCCAGGAAATACATCCGGAAGCATGCCACCAAAGCTCAAGAGCTGCGAGAGAGGCTCGAAAGACGGAAGGCGAGGATAAGCCTGTCTTAGGGTTAGGGCTGAATGCACCGAATTCCATTTGGTTCGGACGTGAGAGAGCTTCCTTCTTTTCCAAAGGGTTGTATGCGAAACCTAAACATCATAGTATCCAAATCTCACGCCTCGGGCTGGGGCATCTCCCAGGGTACCTCCCGTGGGCCCGTCGTCGTATTGGGGGCCAATTGAGCCTTGCTGGCCACAGTGTGATGCACCTTCCTGTGCGGCAGCCTGCTACGAGTACGTATTGAACAAGGGTGGTAGATGAACAATGATGAACTGATTGAATTCGACTTGGAAACGTACTGGAGACAAACAGAGGAATCTCCGCGACCTGTTCAGAACAGAATGCTGAGCTTCAGGTGCCCGGAAGTCTCCGACGCAACTGTAAATGGACACAGGATGTAGTGGGATCTCGGAGACTTTGAGGCTGACAGCATTACTGCTTCGAAGCTACAGGCCGTAGGCCCTGGGTCCTCAGCCTTGGGCCCCGCAAACTCTGAGACTCGAAGTTCATCGCCAGGGCAACAAAGGAAGAGGTGAGGGCCTTACGGAAGAACGGAGTCGTTGGAGTGAAAGTTCCGTGCCCATTTCGTATACTGAAGATTGAGCGCATGCTTAAGCGCAGTGCCTTTCGCTCTAATGTGCTTGAGAACTCCAAGGCGGACCTGAGGCATGTAAATACTAGAAACAGAGGCCTTCTTTGAAGAAGCGACTGTTTGGGCCTCCAGAAGCTTCGGCATTGAGAGTTGGGTGTAGGATTTAGGTCCGCTCGACAGCCAAAGCCGCTTCAGACCGCTCGTTTTGGAGTGTGCAGGGCTTTTGGCTTTGGGTTTCTGGTGATTGGCATAGAGTCTGAGGTTTCGCATGTGGGGGTCATGTTGAAGCTGTGGGGGGGAAGCACGGAAGTTTTGATTTGCGTTTGCCTCGGGTGCAATCCTCTTCCTGGATTCCGAATCGATTTGTCCCTGCACCAAGCAAAACACCGTCACCAGTATCATGCCATGGTGAAAGTCTGAGAGTCTCTCTATCCGCCAACAAGGCTTCTTGTTTCAAACGGATATTCTACAAACTTGATGCATGTTCCAGGGCCTCCAAAGGCTCGAAAGCCTCCGTGAGTCTCGGCAACTTGGAGTGCTCTTCGGGGTTTGGCGTTCTTGCGCGCTCAGGCGAGGAGCTGTAGATGAGCTCCCTCCACACGTTCCGTCTCACCTCGTGTTTCGCACATCCCCGGAGGCAGGAAGCAGAGTCTGGGAGAGTTTGGAGGCTTGCTTGTGAGAGGTGCGGTTCAGTCTTGAGGCTCTGGACTTGACGATTTGGAGCTTCAGGATCCTAGTCCTAGTGTGGTTCGTGCAAGCATTCGGTTGATAGATTCGGCCTCGACAGCCGCCACAGCTTTCGATATAGAGCCTGTCTACACGCAGCGTGCGACTAACGGACTACACTTTGCTACTCTGTCGTGAGATGAGCACCGTACCATGGGGATCCAAGCAAAACTGTGTGAAACCTACCCAGGGTTTCGACGACTGCGGAATTCGCTTCATCGCACGTAGGAGGAAGCTTGCTCGGTCAACCGGTCAACTGCGCCCTTCCCACTTCTTCCAGGCCATTGGTGCAGCCGTCTGACTTAGCCTTGGGAAACCTCGCGGGCTGCTGTCCGACGGATTTAGAGCTGCTCCTGTAATTCTCGATGGACCTGCAGCATCAACAGCAACAACAACAACAGCCGCTACTGCAACAACCACCGCGACATTGGCGACGACACGGTTGCTGCGAAAAAATACGACCAGAGTGGTAGTCGCAGCCGGAGTACGAGCAACACTTGTAGTCATTCCAGTGATAGCAGGCGGCAGCAGCTGGAGTAGGTATATTTGTCGGAAGTGTTGGGGCTTGTAGATTTCAGTAGGTTTAGGCGTTCTATCTGGATGGAGCTTACAGTACAGCAGGGCTTGAGGCTCGGGCTGAGGAAGTAGCGCGTCGGAATGTAGGAAGCATGGTGTACTTTGTTGTGGGATCAGCGCATCACGATCGCCGAGTCCCTAGCCCTGCACATGTTGAGTCTGAATTTTGACGTTTCGGGATCAGGGTTAGCTCCTCGAGCATAGGGGGCTCGTTTCGTTCTAAACGATTCCTGGTGCGGTTTGTAGTTCACAATCGTTGTAGGTGCACCTTGTTTCTTGGGCGAGCGCACATGGCTGGAAAGTAACTTTCGATTATGATGCATCCCTGAACAGCAGCCTGCGCCCTCGGTGATCTGCTCAGTCTCAGAGCAAAAAAGGCCGTGCTTTTGGAACTGCTTCACTCAGAGCCCTTAACCAGCCCAAGTGCCCAAGTGTGCCCGACATGCTGCTGCCCCCATCTACCCTGGTCAGATCTGGTGTGGAAACACTTTCGGGTGCACCAGCCCAACCTGGGTCATCAATACATCGGTCTTCACCCCGAACACCAAAACCTACCCCAGCGGTCCACCCTGCGGAAGAAAACATGTCAAGTGTCTTCGATGTCCAGTGCTTCCGATCAGTGTCCAGGGGTGTCGATCCAAGAGAACCCTAAAGGATGATTGCTCGGTTGTAGTTGGCTTGAAATCTCCACACTTTTCCAGGGCTGCGTACCCCCACCCCCACACATATACGCACACACACACACACACAGACACAGAGACACACCGCTTGTTGTGCGGATTCGCTCCTGTTTATTCTAGAACCTCATGCCAACAACCCACTCTCAGGGTCCGCGCAAAGCTTGCCTTACGTGAGGTGCTGCTCGAACACTAGAACTTCCCTCCCAGGCAACCTTGGCAGCCCTAAATCGTGTGTTCGCAGTGTTCCGTCTTTGAAGACCCAAAGCCTTAAGCCGAACCCCTGTAAAGTTCTGAAGCCCTGGGAGAAGCCTTCGTCAGGTCCAGGAGACGGATGCTAGCCCGATCGAAGAGAAGCAGCGTGACAGCCCCGGGAACGAGACTGGAGCATCTGTCATCTGCTGTAAGTTGTATGTAGTTTCTATGCGTTACAAATGCTACATATGTAAGTATAGACGTATATATATATATATAGAGAGAGAGAGAGAGAGAGAGAGAGAGAGAGAGACATGCTACAGTGTTTGAGTGGCATTCGTCAAGGTTCTCACTTCTACATATATGTACATAACGGCTTGCGCAAGCTCAGTTGTTACATTGGTTTATGTATATACTCTCGTATACTGACGCGCGTACGCACTCGCAGCATTGAAGCAGGCGGTCTGCGATAATGAATAAAGGCACCATAACATCAACAAAACGATAGTCTAACGTAACGAGACAGGAGAGAGTCGATCAAGTTAGCTTAGGTTACGTTTGGATTGGAAGAAGGTCAGAAGGACAGATAGACAGATGGATAGATAGATAGATGGATGGATTTCTAGGTAGGCAGCCTATCTATCTATCTATCTGTCTATCTGTCCTTCTGAGCTTCTTCCAATCCAAACGTAACCTAAGCTAACTTGAATACATTCACATAGATACACAGGTGGAAGGACAGGTCGATGGATATCTAAATAGACGTTTAGGTAGGTAGTTGAATACAAGGGTTTATGGGTAGATAGATCGACAGATAGATAGATAGATACATTGGTAGATAAATCAGCATATGTGCAGATCAAGAGGAAGATGCATATTTCCCACGCGTAGTATAGTTTATCTGATTTTGCATGTTCGCATTGTGTATCTCTGATGGCCCGCATCTGTCAACCACACACCGCAACAGCTTCGCTCCTTATCTTCAACCCATACGAAACTGCAAAGATAAAGTTCACCATGACACTACACCCCATACTCCAGCAACCTTGGACCGTCGCGAAGATTCCGATCTACGCTCCCAGATCCCAAGACATGGGGCTGTACTGGGGCCCAAATTTAGTTCTCTCATGTTTTAGGAAATTGCCTCGCCTGTCGGAGCATTCAGGAACAATCCCGTTTTCTAGCGATCCTCACTACCTGCCTTTGCGATGGGAACCCTGACATGCCCACTGTACAGCTAAAGCAGCACAGGCCAAAGTTCATTGAGACCCGTACTTCGGCCGTTTCTCAACGATGCCATGCGTGTCCACAGCACCTTACCAGCCCCTGCCGCGGTGATCTGCTCCGAAGCGCGCTGCCTGTGGGCGCTGACAGTGTACAAGGCTTGACATTCGCCTGCTAGGTGTGCACTTTGCAGGTTTAGATCGGTAATAGGTGTTTTTACGATTTTTCGGCTTCTATAATCCTGTTTCAGAGGGCTGAATTGGGGCGTCTGTAGGGTTCAAGGACTTACAGAAACTTTTGCCTCAAAGAGTTTGCATCCATGGCATGGGCTGTCAGCACTTCTTCCGCAACGGAGTTGGAGAGGGCATATGCACGTTGCTGTGGGCATCGTGTCGGAATCAAGGCAGTAAAAAGGTGCAGATGGCTGGTTGATGCATTCGTTCGGTTTCGGCATTCAATTCAGACACAATTAATACTGTCCGTTCCCGTGGCGTGAACGGAACCACATCGGTTCCAGCTTCCGGCTAAACTCATGCTATCAAGTTGCCCTGTGGAGCGGTTTAGTACCAAGATCAATTACCAAGCTTAGGAGAAGCCTCAAACCCAGCCTAGGTAAGCCTTCAACCCCGGCCCACGGATGAAGAACACCGTGCGTCGTCTTCCGATCCGTTCTTCGACTTGCAGGTCCTCAGCAATAGCTTGCCGGGAGAGGCGGGGTCGGTGCCACAAACTAGGAAATTCGAAGCAGGGCAGCCCAAGACCCTGCATAAGCCTTGCATGCTAAACACACTCTGTAGCGACTTGAGGGTCCGGCCATCTCCAAACCATCACAGAGTCCTATGTCTTAAGGACGTTTTGAGATTAAAACCTGAGCCTAGGGTTCTGTAGGTGTTCAAGGCTTTGGGGCATCCTATGATATAAATACATGTGCAAGACTTTCCGCATGCATGGACTTGCAGAGTACGTCACCGGATCTGCGAGTTTGGGGTTTAACTTCCACAAGGAAAACCGACATTAGAGGAGACGTCTCCTTCGTGGGCGTTCGATGAATCGAGAATGCCTTGCCTAGCTTGAGGATCGAGGATGGCATGTTCCTTCAAGTCTTCAAAGCTGTTGCTCTTTGTCGGTCTTTGCGGCGCGGGTTTCGGGATCTGTACAGAGGCCTCAGCGAGAGAAAGCTTGAACGCACCTGTAAATCCGGCACTGAGTTCCAACCGGTCTTTTCTCGAAAGCTTCTGGTCGCCACTTCGGCGACTCATTGCCCGCCCCATGCGAGTTTCGTAGATGCATTTTCAGCGGTTCGACGAAGGGTCCCTTAACAAAAAGCCAAACCTCACAAGCCCCAAAGCAGCTTTTGGGGCTCAAGCCCAGGAAAGTCTTAGATATCGTGGATATGCGGCAGTAGGAATGAGCGCCCAAGGAGGGGGAACGTTCATGCAGCCAGCGATCTCAACCCATCGACCCCCAGTAGGCACAGTGTGGACGGCCTGTCACATCAGGAGATTGGAACAGAGAATGCGTGTGAACTCAGAAAGCCAGCTGTCTCTAAACCGACATGGAATATTTGGCGAGCATGTTGGCAAGTCGACTTCAGTACTGCATGAATGGTGTCATAACGCAGAGTTCGGCAGACAAGAAAGGTGTTAATGTGCAACAGGATCATGCACGTAGTGTATATAGGACACTGTTCTATGGTCGAAGCTGCGAAGTTGGAAGATGATTGACCGGGATTGGCGCATGGCGCAAGGCATTTTCCACCTTTGAGTTTGGCTGCCTATGTTTTGCTTCTTCCAAATGTTGCGTCTTCCAACTTTAGTTCTGACAGGGTTTCGTGTTAGTACGAAGGAAATGCTTTCTTGAAACGTTTCCCCAAAATCTGGAGGGATGGATCCAGAACCGCGCCCAACAAGCCTCCCCAAGCACTGGCAGGATTCAGAATCAGTCGAAGGCACTGTGGCCCTAGTACTGGCGTCTCCGGAACAAATGGTCCGTGGTGAAAGCGCTTTCCCCCAAGTCCTGGCAGAAATTCGAACCATCTGGTCGAACGGCGGATCGGGTGCGGGGTGGCCGGTTCCGAGATGCAAGTTTGCGGGGCGATCGAAGCAAGAATTGCTGCACCTGCCAAAAACTAAGTAAAACTTGGAAGATCGCACAAAGAGGCTTCCCCCTTTTTGAAGTACATGCGG